ATTGTACAATGAGAACACATTGTCCTAATTTTCATATGCAGATTCAATTAGCATTCAGTTAATTAGCCTTTACAAATGAGGATTAACATAATTGCATAACACTAACCTCTCTTAATAATTATAAAGGGTAGGAAGGCTGTTTTTAATAAATTTGGAAGGCTTATATATGTTTTTTAAAATCTGAAATGGCACACACATAAATTAAACCAAATTACACACAAAGGACAGCTATTAGGAATGATGATCAAAGGAAACAAACTATGTACATGGTTTAGAATAGTGCTGGATAGAAATTCACTCTGGTTCTCTTCCTTGCTGTCTGCTGGCCTCCTAGTGTTTCCTCTATGATTATTACTGGGGAGATTGAACCATCCAGGGAGTCATTCCTTAAAAGTGAGCTCTGGCCTTATTATAATTCAAGTGTTGCTAGCTCATGTTTTGAAATATATATGATCATTTGGGTGGTAGGCACACAAAACCCATTGGATTTCAATGGGAATTGGTACCTAGTTGCCTTGGGCTCCTTTTAAAATTCCCAGCCCTAAATGCTATTAGTTTCTGTTACCTGATGTAAGTGGATAGCTATATGGATTTTTTCTCTTTATTTGATATGGATATTTAAATAGTGATGCTCCAGTTAAGAATATCTTCATGACACAAAATACAACATATGACTGAGGGACCGAACAGCACATGGGTTTAGTAATGGGATATGGAGCCTTTGGTTTCTAGGTTACAGGTTTGAATCCCGACTATCTTGGTAGTGACCTTTGAGTGGCCTAGGTGAAGAGACTTGGTGTCTGTCCAGTCCCTCATGAACAGGTGTTGGCATCAGATAACACCACAACTGATATTCTCAAGCCAACATTTGAATGGGCATGAAACCGCAGAGATGTTCATTTCAGGCCAGAGTTGAGGCATTTTTTTACTGGGCAATGCAAGGAAGCTTGCACTGCTGTTGCTCATGCTTCATGTGTTCTGTGATGAGGGGAATGCTGTTGCTCATGCTTTATTTGTTCTGTGGTGAGGGGAATGCTGTCTCCAGGTCTGTCAAGGTGATACTTTTCATAAACACGTAATAAAATAAATCTGTTCTCTGTTATTCTTAAATTAGAATGCTGCTCATTCAGTGGTGCTTGAGTGACATATCTCCATTACCATGTGGTCCAATACCACTTGTGTTCCCATTTAAGTACCTTGGGCTACCTTATGTTCTAGAAGAAGTTTTTCCTGTAGAAATTATTTTGTTGACTAAATTCTTGAGCTGTGGGCAACGACAGACCTGTATTGCATCCCAGCGCATGTGCTCTCATTAAAACCATTGTACCCTGCCTCTTGTGATCCCAGCAAGGACCCTAGTTAATTTCACAAGTCATATGATCTGTTGTCAAATTGCAGAGCCCCAACATTTTCCAAAATGGCCGCAGAATTTTGATGCTTCCATTTTTCTGGTAATCAGCTTGAATCACCTTGAGCCCTATCTTTTAGAAGTGCTGAGTCCTCAGGACTCCACTTGAAGTCTGTGAGAACTGAAGGTGCTCAGCACCTCAGAAGAACAGGTCCATGATGTCCCATGCTTAGCATCCAAAAATTGAGAGATACAAAACTAGTGGCCATTTCTGAAAACATTGGATACAGTGACTCTGGACAGAGATGCCTCTATCCATTCTCAACTGGAGGGGAAGGTCTCTGCAACACAGGTCTTTTGAGAGTCTGGAGAAGTAACCTGGTGAATGCAGTAGTGTGTGTGTGTGTGGGGGGGGATCCTTCTCTGGGAGAATCCACTTTTAAAAATGGAGACTTGAGTCCACATTGTCTTTTCTGATTTCCCTGATTTATGTGCTGCAGAGCCTGAAATCTTAACATGAAATTGCTTAAGGTAGTTTCTAGTGGCCAAATTCTACTCTCCCTGACAGCTGTAATTCTCATTTCCTTCAGCAGGAGTTCTACCTGGGCTGTGTGTGTCTGAGAGCAGAATTTGGCCCTATGCGTTGTTCTGTACACAGATACATTTGATAACTTACAATCAATCAAAGAGAGGAGAGAATGCAAACATCCTGTGAGGAAGCTGGCACAAACTATGTAAAGAAAAAGCTTTCTGGGTTTCAGGCAGTTAAACCACTTCAGCTGCTGTTTCCATGGTGTACCAGTTGCTGCTAAATATGCCTTCCTCAGGAAAGGAATCCTTCAGCTTGCATGCATGTGTTATCTCTTTGATAATGGCCCATCAGCAGGATGGCAGCTAATTGTGAGGGCCAAGTGCAATTTAAAAACCTTTTCCTGAGGTGGTGTTTGTGATCAGTCACATTCTGTAGCCTTTCAGAAAACGAGAAAGGAGAAGTGATTTTTCTAACTTGGAACAGCATAACTGCCCACTTTTTTACAATTAGAGATTGTGACACATTAGTTAAAGTGGTAACTTCAAGGTCAACACTCATGCACTTAGGTATCATTACAAATGGCATAGTCTATGCTACATTTTCCTTCTGATTCCTGAAAAACTATAGGTTTCAGAGTAGCAGCCGTGTTAGTCTGTATTCGCAGAAAGAAAAGGCTTACTTGTGGTACCTTAGAGACTAACAAATTATTTCACTTCCTCCACTCCATCACCACCACCCCCCCTGTTGTTCTTAAGCTGTAGCAGTAGATAATGCACTGAGTACGTGACTAGGAGGTAGAGCTCCTAAATTCTAATTTTAGCTCTGCCACTGATACAGTGTGTGGCATTTAGCAAGTCAATTAAAGCTCTCTGCCTCAGTTTCTTTGTAAAACAGCTGCTCAATGGTTTGTAGATCCTCAATCACGGTATATGTGCAGACTATTATTGCAGTTACAATCCGGGGCTACCCTACAATAATACCTCATAGGGCCAAATGCACCTCAACCGGTGCAAAGAAGTTGCAAATGCACCTCCCTTAACCTGCAAGGCTTGCTGCGCTTCAGGCAGGATTCACTTAAGGGGAAGGACAAGGTGGTGTTTCCAACACACCCCTTTGTTGGGAGTTATGCCAGGGGACATAAGCTTTAGTGTTTATTGGAGCCCTGCCAGTGAAGACTGAATCACTACAAGCTGACAGGGTAATAGAACTCTAGACCTTCCTATATCTTCCATTGTTCTATGTAGTATAGTTGTGGCAGTGTTGGTCCCAGGATATTAGACAGACAAGGTGGGTGAGGTAATAGCTTTTATTGGACCAACTTCTGCTGGCTATGAGAGAGACAAACATTCAAGCAACTCTATCCTGAATGGTCTCTTACAATATGTGCTAAGTACTTATGCTAAACAATCTGTTTCACTTTGCATTTTGCTGTAAGGCTGGAAATTCTTTCCCCAGTCCTGTAGAAGAAGTGAGTTGTAGCTCAGGAAAGCTTATGCTCAAATAAATTGGTTAGTCTCTAAGGTGCCACAAGTACTCCTTTTCTTTCTGTGTGGTTTGAAAGCTTGTCTTTCTCACCAACAGAAGTTGGTCCAATAAAAAAGATTACCTCACTCATCTTGTGTCTCAGAAAGATTTTCCTGACATTCAGCCTAAATTGTTCCTTTTAAAATTTCATCTCCTCTCATCATTATGTTTTCTAAAATCTAAAGTCATTATGCTCGCTGATATTTTTACTCTATCTTTCTGTTATATAATTAGAACACAAATAAACACACGATTACGAAACTGGTGGTAACTCAGTTCCATGGAACAAATCACATGTTAAAAACCCTGCGATTAAAAAAATAAAAAGTTCAACGTGGATTTACTTTAAGAATTCAAAAAACCCTATACAACTGCCTATTAAAAAAAAAGAATTGTATTTAATTTTATCTAAAGTAGAAAAAATATTTTTAATTTGCTCTGTTAAATGGGAGAGCCCTTGTCAACTGCCAGATTTTTTGAATTATTTCAGTGCAAAAAAGCAACAACAAAAGCACAGATACTGCATTACAATGTGTTTCATACATTTATATGGACTATGATTTAATTTTAATTATTTATATTTCATACTGCTCTAGCCAATATTCCATAGTATGTTGTAAAAGGAGTAAAGTCTTCATCTGCGACCTCAATGCACCATTTTGCTAGTGACTCTTTGCTGAGAATAAAGAAAAGGAGTACTTGTGGCACCTTAGAGACTAACCAATTTATTTGAGCATGAGCTTTCGTGAGCCACAGCTCATAGCCCATGGATTATAGAAATGCAGATTAGCAAGGTCATACTGCAGTTACTTTCCCTATCTAAGTGATAAATACAATACCATATGATTTTCTGAATACTATAGTTTTGTCTTAATCATGTTTATTCACTTTTGGGGAAGCACTTTATACCTCCCCTCCTGCTACTCAAATTGTATTTATGTGGTAGGTAACAATTTAGTATAGTAATAAATTTCCTTATCTAAATGGATACCAGTTTACTTCAAGTACGAGAGTGAAACACAAAAAGTAAAAATTCAGAATAAGTCTGTTAAAATAAAGCTGTTTATTTTTTCTGTTTATCCCCAGTGACTACTTAGCATTAAACTCGAACCAAGCAGGGTTTTTTTATTTGTGAGATAATGTTTTATTGGTGCGTTTTTTTTAACTTTTTTTCCCTTTATTTCTCTTGTGTGCAATGAGTAAGTCATATTCCTACTCTCTATTAGTTTCTCCATTTTGTGCATTTCGAAGCACAAACATACAAAGATTATGAGTCAGGCCCCAAAATCATAAGATTGGCTTAAAATTTTTTAAAAAAAATTTCTTTGGCCTTGTATTTGCATTTTGAGCCTTTAGAGCTCACATTTTCAAGTGTCTTTCTGCAACCTGGAGAACCAGAAAGTTGTGGTGATGATGTTTTTTCTTAAATGAAAGCTGAGGTTCTCATGTAGTAACATTACTCCAGGAGCTGGGATTTAAGAAAAACACCAGATATCACGAGTGTTGGTAACCCTGCATTCTAGGATCTCAAATGTTCTGGTAATGCCATATATAGTCAATGATAATACTGTGGTAACTCTCTTTCTCTTTACTCAGGGATTTTGGGAAAACCATACAAAACTGATCAAGGAGTATGGACCTGTTTGTGGGTAAGCTAGCAATACTCTTTCTTTACTTTGTTCATTGTTGCTGCTGTTTTCTTGTTGGTTTGCAACTTAGTGACAGTGAACTAATGCCACTTTACTCCTGAATAAAAGCATCCAGATGGAAGTTAACACACTGATGTGCATAGACTTCACGCCTTTAATTGATTTGCCTTCCCTTTCTTGAGTGTCTCCATATAAAAAAGTCCTAACATTGAACATACAGACAATTCTGCTTAGACCTAAGGGCATGGCTACACTTGCAAATGTAGAGCGCTTTGAGTTAAACCAGCCTTCGTAGAGCGCAGCAGGGAAAGCGCTGCAGTCTGTCAACACCGACAGCTGCAAGCGCACTGACGTGTCCACATTTGCAGCACTTGCAGCGGCATTGGGAGCAGTGCATTGTGGGCAGCTATCCCACAGAGCACCTCTTCCCATTCTGGTGCTGATGAGGTCCAGCACCTCACCATTGCTCCATACTGGGGATAGCCTGGCGCGGGGAGGCGTGGTCACTTGGAAAGATTCACTGAGAGCACTCCACGCCTGGCTGAGCAAACAGGAAGGGGATTTTCAAAATTCCCAGAGAATTTAAAGATAGGTCTGATGGTTGGTCATCTGAGGGCAGGGCAGTAGAGTTCAAAGTGATGACCAGAGTGGCTAGAACGGGCATTGTGGGACACTTCTGGAGGCCGATCAGAGTGCATTAACAGACCAGGGGGTCCACACTGCTGCCGCGGTGCTCCAGCGGGGGCGCATCAAACGTTATTCCACTCGCCGAAGTGGATTACCAGGAGCGCTCTAGCTGCGGAGTCAGAGCGCTCTACGTGCCTTGCCAGTGTGGACGCATCGTGAGTTAGAGCGCACTGGGCTGCTTTAATGCGCTCTAACTCGCAAGTGTAGCCAAGCCCTCAGTCTTTCTCAGGCCTTTACAGAGCTACCACCTTGGTAAAATAAGGGTGTTGGTAGCCGTTGCACAAAGGAAAATATATCTCTTCTCTCATGTGAACATTGAATTGATGAGGGGAGGAAGTGCCTTTAAAGTTGCTTTGGTTTACATGCCTGTCACCTATGTGATTCTGAGTTTTCACTATGAGACAATGAAACATTCACCAAAATTTAATTTAATTTAAGAAAAAAATCACTTTTGCAAAATACTGTGGATTTGAGTTCAAATCTCTCACTCCATATCTGTACAAAAATATCCATTTTAAAAATATCATGAAGTAAAAAGTAAAAATTGCACACCTCTTTCCCCTGTCCTCCAGCTGTAGTTAACCACTTACTAGTGCTGAGGAGGGACTACACCTCAGGAAGAGTACACAGGGACTCCCCTAAAGTCAAATATTTCCCGTTTCTTTGAATCCCTCATTGGTAGTACAAGTTTTGCATTGTTATAATAGTGCTGGAACTGCACTTTTACTTCCATTCTTTTCTATCCTATGTGGAAATAATGACTTCCAGATTCTCTCTATCCTTGGTATTTCCAATGTGCTTATTACTTTGATATATAAATACAGACCAATAATTACAAAGAAAGCATAGACTCAATGGAGACACTGTTTTTATGTCTCCTTACAACAATCTGTAACCCACTAATTCCCTTTTGTCCTATGACTGCTGAAGTCTCAGTTGCCTACTTCATTTTGAATGGTTTCTTGCAACATGTTTTAACTTCTTATGCTTAACAATCCGTTTCACCTTGTATGTAGCTGTGATGCTCTGATTACCTTTCTGAGACCTGATGAAGAGCTCTGTGGAGATTGAAAGCTTGTCTCTCTCACCAGCAGATATTGGTCCAATAAAAGATATTACCTCACCCACCTTATCTCCCTCATATCCTGGAATTAATGTGGCTATAACAACAGTGCAAACAAAGAAAGCATAAATAGTCCTGAAAGGTTTTTTTTCTTCCCTGTTCCACAGAAGTTCAGAGATGCGTGTGAGTGTGTGTAGATTATAAATATGTTTTGGATGTTGTTCCTGCAGCAAAGCTTTATCAAAGAGCAGTGTTTTATAATTAATCTGAAGACAGGCAAGTTGAGGTTCAGACCTAATGGAGTTCTCACTGCTAAAAAAATACTCCACTCCCTATTTCTGACAATCTAAACCAGGGTCTCTGCAGCTGTGTCATCCCACAACTATGTGTGCAGATAGCAGAGGATGAGGTGGTTTGCAAAATCATAGAATCATAAAGTCGTAGAAAATTAGGATTGGAAGAGACCTCAGGAGGTCATCTAATCCAACCCCCTGCTCAAGGCAGGACCAACACCAACTAAATCATCCCAGCCAGGGCTTTGTCATGCCAGGCCTTAAAAACTTCTAAGGATGGAGATTCTACCACCTCCTTAGGTAACCCATTCCAGTGCTTCACCACCCTCCTAGTGAAATAGTGTTTCCTAATATCCAACCTAGACCTCCCGCACTGCAACTTGAGACCATTGCTCCTTGTTCTGTCATCTGCCACCGCTGAGAATAGCCGAGCTCCATCCTCTTTGGAACCCCCCTTCAGGTAGTTGACGGCTGCTGTCAAATCCCCCCCACTCTTCTCTTCTGCAGACTAAATAAGCCCAGTTCCCTCAGCCTCTCCTCATAAGCCATGTGCCCCAGCCCTCTGATCATTTCTGTTGCCCTCCGCTGGACTCTGTCCAATTTGTCCACATCCTTTCTGTAGTGAGGGGCCCAAAACTGGAAGCAATACTCCAGATGTGGCCTCACCAGTGCCAAATAGAGGGGAATAATCACTTCCCTCAACCTGCTGGCAATGCTCCTGCTAATGCAGCCCAATATGCTGTTAGCCTTCTTGTAATCCCCAGGTCCTTTTCTGCAGAACTGCTGCTTAGCCAGTCGGTCCCCAGCCTGTAGCAGTGCATGGGATTCTTCCGTCTTAAGTGCAGGACTCTGCATTTATCCTTGTTGAACTTCATCAGATTTCTTTTGGCCCAATCCTCCAATTTGTCTAGGTCACTTTGGACCCTATCCCTACCCTCCAGCATATCTGCCTCTCCCCCCAGCTTAGTGTCATCTGCGAACTTACTGAGGGTGCAATCCATCCCATCGTCCAGATCATTAATAAAGATGTTGAACAAAACCAACCCCTGGGGAGCTCCGCTTGAGACCGGCTGCCAACTAGACATCGAGCCGTTGATCACTACCCATTGAGCCCGACAGTCTATTCAGCTTTCTATCCACCTTATAGTCCATTCATCCAATCTATACTTTTTTAACTTGCTGGCAAGAATACTGTGGGAGACTGTATCAAAATCTTTGCTAAAGTAAAGATTTATTACATCCACTGCTTTCCCCATATCCACAGGGCCAGTTATCTCATCATAGAAGGCAATCAGGTTGGTCAGGCGTGACTTGCCCTTGATGAATCCGTGTTGACTCTTCCTGATCACCTTCCTCTCCTTCAAGGGCTTCAAAATGGTTTTCTTGAGGACCTACTCCGTGATTTTTCCAGGACTGAGGTGAGGCTGACCGGTCTGTAGTTCCCCAGGTTCTCCTTCTTCCCACTGTATTTGCCTTTTTCCAATTGTCTGGGACCTCCCCCAGTTGCCAAGAGTTTTCAAAGATAATGGCCAATGGCTCTGCAATCACATCAGCCAATTCCCTCAGCACCCTCGGATGCATTAGATCTGGACCCATGGACTTGTGCATGTCCAGCTTTTCTAAATAATCCTTAACTTGTTCTTTCACCACTGAGGGCTGCTCACCTCCTCCCCATACTGTGTTGCCCAGGACAGGAGTGCGGGAGCTGACCTTGTCTGTGAAGACTGAGGCCAAAAAAGCATTGAGTACTTCAGCTTTTTCCACATCATCTGTCGCTAGGTTACCTCCCCCATTCATTAAAGGTCCCACACTTTCCCTGACCTTTTTCTTGTTGCTAACATACCTGTAGAAACCCTTCTTGTTACCCTTCACATCCCTTGCTCGCTGCAACTCCACTTGTGTTTTGGCCTTCCTGCTTACACCTCTGCATGCTCGAGCAATATTTTTATACTCCTCCCTAGTCATCTGTCCAAGTTTCTACTTCTTTTGGAAGCTTCCTTTTTGTGTTTAAGCCCACCGAATATTTCACTGTTAAGCCAAGCTGGTCACTTGCCTTATTTGCTATTCTTTCTGCACATCAGGATGGCTTGTTCCTGTGCCTTCAGTAAGGCTTCTTTAAAATACAGCCAGCTCTCTTGGACTCCTTTCCCCCTCATATTAGCCTCCCAGGGTTTCCTACCCATCATTTCCCTAAGGGAGTCAAAGTCTGCTTTTCTGAATTCCATGGTCCGTATTTTGCTACTCTCCTTTCTTCCTTTTGTGAGGATCCTGAACTCAACCATCTCATGGTCACTGCTGCCCAGGTTGCCACCCACTTCTACTTCCCCTACCAATATAAGATAGTCCATAGGGCTTTGTAGACTAGGCCAGGACTTAAAACTCACGCTCTGAATTGAATGGGAGGAGAATGCAATTCGCAGAGCAGTGGTATAATATTGTGTCAGCCTTGTTGTCTGAGGTATTTGCTGTACCAATTGCATCCTTCTTGTGGCAGTCACATTCAACTCTAGGGAAAGTGTCTTGCAGAGATAAAACCAAGAGGTAATGATATCATGGCTGTCAGTGGCTAGATCCTCGACTGAGAGGAAATGATATAGTGTCCTGGCCGGTGAGAAATAGAAAAAGATGTTCATCACCACTGTGGCACTTTGGATTTGTCTGGGGTAGTAATGGACTGAGCATGACTCTGAGGCTTCATATTATTCCAAAGATCTGTAGTCTTGTGCCCTTAAACAATGGTGATGATAGAGCACTGGCATTAGTTCCTCAGTATGTTTTCCGCATTCTAATTAGTATCACATCTGTTTTTTCTAAGTTGATCTAGAGCTCTCTGGTTTTCACTCCTCTGCTTACCCATTCCTTCAGGCATTGGTGATGGCAGGGCAGTGTCAGTAGAACAATGAACTGGTAGCATATGAGTCACACTGTCTCCGAGTGGTCTCTTGTAGATGTTGGAG